AAAAAAAATTTGGGTCAGAGATTTTGATATGGTGAATTGGAAAGAAACAACAATTTTTTTTTCTTTTTTTTGAGAAGATAGGATGATCTGAAAGAGTTTGTGAGGAGTTGGGTTTTTTTTAAGAACCATGGAGATGACAAGAGAGAAGTTCCTCCTTTGATATTTTTTTTTGTGTGATTTCAACAAGGGTTTTTTTTTCTTTTTTTTTCATTTGAGTGGAGAAGTTGATTTGAGGATAAAGAAGGAAAAGAAAATAGAGGTGATTAGGGTGGAGCCGCCGTCGCCGGAATTACCGGCGGCGGCGGGAGCAAAGAACTTTTTTTTTTAGGTCACCAAGAGCGGTGGCTCTGATACCATGTTGAAATATTGGAATAGTAATATTGGTCATTGAATTATGAAGTACATGATAGAGTATATATAGGAGAGACTCCTAACACAACTAGGAATAGAGAATAGAAATTAACTAACATACAACATCTACCACAAATAGGATTAGGAAGCTGACTAATAATGAAACACTACCATAACCAATACTACAAGAAGTACTATTATTATTATTGTCTAACATATACTACTACGCCCATTCACATTATCGCGTAGTATATTTACCTTTTCTAGAGTTTTCCAGGCCAGTTGACAATAGGATGAATAATTGATGATGAATGGATCGCTATTATTGCCAACATGAGGGTTAAAGATCACGGGTCATTTTGCAGACCAGGAAAAAATGACTCGCACATACAATGGGTCCACCGCCTACAAAAGCAAATCAATTCTCACCACAAATCATTTCACTCCGTTGCAGAGTTTTACAAGGATATGGAGTGCCAAGAGGATACACGTGTGGTGGGAGACAATTATACTAAATATAGAGTCTCTGCAAGTATCTGGTGCAATATCCACTCTCTGTCACAAATTTGTGATTAAAGTCTAATTTACCTCCTCCTAATAAGGATCGTCTCGTCGGGTTTGAGTTGGATTCATCCTTTTCAATATGGCTTAGACAAGAGGGAGACTCTTTTGACTTTTGTGGATGTTAGAAGTTAGTTTGTTAGAAGTCGGTTAGCTAGATAATCCTTCTCATCCTTCTTCATCGATCTTGATTATTGATCTTTTCCTTCTTCATCGATCTTGATTATCAGTCCTTCCTTTTCTTCCATTCTCGGTTCAATGATGATGAACACGCCAAATTCCAATGCGATTGATCCTACATGTCCTTTATACGTTCATCCATCAAATAATCTTGGCCTCGTTTTAGTTTCTCAGAAATTTAAGCCAAGAGGAGATCCTTTGAAGGCAAGTAAGCATTTGGAAACGCTGCCATGACATGATAACGTCATAGATTCTCAATACTCTGAGCAAGGAAATAGATGATAGTATTCTCTACGCTAATGTTGTGGCTGATTTGTAGGATGAGCAAGACGATATATTTGGTCAACCCAACAATGTTCGTTTGTATCAGTTGCAAAATGAGATATGTTCAATTCCTCAAGGAAATTCTGACATAGCTAGTTATTACACCAGAATTAATAGAGCATGGGATGAATTTGTTATGGTTTCTCACCTTCCACAATGTTCATGTGGTGCAGTCCATAAAATTTTGAAGTATGAACAATATCAAAAGCTTCTCCAGTTCTTGATGAGATTAAACTCGTATTAGAACATAACCAGAGGTAACATTTTGATTATGAAGCTTCTACCTTCTATTCCACTAGCTTATGGAATTCTTATACACGAAGAGAAGCAGAAACAAGTTCCATCCTCTACATAGATTGCATAACAACATACTTCTCTGAGTGCTCAAAATCAAACTTCTTTTAAAGGAATTTATGAGGGTAAGAAAATTCCTATATGTAAGATCTGTAAGGAGAAGGGCCACACTACTAATAAATGTTACATGCTCATTGGCTTTCCCAGGGATTTTAAATTCACCAAAGGAAATAATATTGCTGCAAATACTTATTTAGGGGAAAATGCTGACACAACTGGCCCTAGAGTTGACAACAAAATCTCGCCAGCATTATGCAATTAGTTCATGTGCTTACTAAGCTCTATTCATGGAGATAAATCCAATTTTTTTTCAAATTCAATGAGGGTCCGTTTGGTATACGGAATTGATGGAATTGGAATTGAAATTCCATAGGATTCAATTCTATAGAATTGAATTCACCAATTCCAATTCATTTTTTTGCATTATCAAATCCAAATCCACATAATTTTTGTGCTACCAAACACTATAATTGAAATTGAAGTATTCAATTCCAATTCCATGGTTTGAATTCCGTGTACTAAACGGGGCCTGAGTCAATTTTTTTGTTCATATGGCTGGTACACTTTTATCCATTTGGATATTTATAGCCCCTGTTCGGCCCTTTGTTGCGGTTATTGACTTATTTCCGCGGCCATGTTTAAAGTGTCCACGTGCACCACCTTGGATAACATTTGATTCCGGTGTTGAACCACGATCAGGATGACCAAAGTTTGTAGGACTGCAACCGATAGGCCTCATATTATGATTTTTCATTAACAGCTCATTATTCTGTTCAGCAACAAGTAATACTGAGATTAACTCAGAATACTTTTTAAAACCTCTTTCTCTATATTGTTGCTGTAATATCACATTCGACATATGCATGGCGGAAATTTTTTTTTCCAACATGTCATGATCAGCGATATTATGTCCACATAATTTTAATGTGGACGTGACTTTGAAAATAGCAGAATTATAGTCACAAACAGATTTAAAATCTTAGAATCTTAAATTGATCCATTCATATTGAGTACTTGGCATTAAGACTTTTTGTTGATGTCCATATCTCTCTTGGAGATTATCCCATAATTCCTTCAGATCTTCCACCAATAAATATTCAGATTTTAAACTTTCATGAAGATGGTAACGAATGAAAATTATGGCTTTTGCCTTTTGCTGAGATGATGGTATATTATTTTTAGCAATTGTATTTTCGAGGGCATTAGCCTTAAAGTGAGCAAGTGCATCAACCCTCCATTCCAGGTACCTTTGACTGGATAAATCAAGAATGTCGAATTCTCTTTTGGTGATGTTGGCCATTTGAAAAACTCTGAGAAGAACAGTTTTTGAGATTTTTGAGCAAATTCGTGAAATGAGAGAAAAAAACTACTCAGAGGTTATGAGAATAGATATAATACATTTCTGATTTCTTCTCTCGATTAATTCTTCACTCTTCTTCTTGTTCTTAATGGTGATTTGCGGGGATCCTAAGCCACTTATTTGTAGTAGAGAGGCTTAGTGGTAACACTATTACAAATAGTATACATACTATACAAATGGCAATTTGATGGTGATGATAGAAAATTTGTTCCTACAACTATGATGAAGCATGACCTAATTAATTGATAAATGAAGAATTCATATTTTCTTAACAGTTTTATAATTATTTTATTATAAATTATTTATATTTATTTATATTAAATTGTAATATGTATTTTGTGCATAACGTTTTACACATAAGTCCAAACTTTATACTACTGCTTACCTTTTTACGAGATCTACCCAATTACCTAATTTTCAAATAAAAAGGTCAACTTTACTAATAGCTCATATATTTTATTCAAAAATATTATATTTATTTTTTATAAAAATAACAACTAACTACTAAGCCAATTTTCAAGGTGTTACATATGAAACCAAATTAAATCCGAACAAAAATTGAAACGAATCGATCGGAACCGAATCGATTATAACAGATATCTGAACTGAATTATTCCAAACTAGAACCGAAAATGATATGGTGTGATGTATTAATGATATATTGATAAATGCAATAAGACAAAAAATGAATGCGGATATTTAATTCAAAAATAACATATATGTAAAATAAATCTGAAATCGAAAAATACTCGAACGGAAATGTATTTAAACTAAAATATGTCATAACAAAAATGTTTTCAAAACCGAAATCGATCCAAATTGATTAACATCCAAATCGTATCTAAATTGTATCGAACCAGAATTGAAAAATATATATGAAATCAAATTAAATTCAAACCAAAATAGAACCGAACCAATCTGAACAGAATCGATTATAACATATATCTAAATTGAATTATTCCAAACTCGAACTGATCCTGATGGTGTAAATTATCGACCGGTATATCGTTTTTAATCGGGCAAAAATGATAAACTAGTCTAAAAAATACACCAAAATATAAACACGGGGATTTTTACGTGGAAACCCAAATTGGGAGAAAACCACGGGCCTTTTTGGCGGTACCTTGCCAACGGGGGATTTTTATTAATATCGGGGGTGTGTACACGGTACATAATTTAGGCTAGGAAGCCATTAATGGAGCTTTTGAGCTCTTGAAGAAGAAGAAAATATATCATACCCTAGAGAGAGAAAGAGTAAATGGGCAGGGAGAGGAAAATGGGCTTCCCTCCACAATGAGGGCACCCCTCCTTTTATAGGGAGTGAGGGAAGCATATTCGGGGAATATTCTCTTATTCCTTTATTTTATTAAAGAGACCCGGTTTGACTGTTCTTCGTAAATAATTGGGGAATGTGGGCCGAGCCACGTATTATTTCCCATCAAGAAGTCCCCCACTTTTTTAAGTTGTGAGAATCATCAACTTAAAAAAGTAAACAAGTCCTCCGAGTGATATCTTCAGTCTTCGTACTTTGAATTCTTGACCAGTTGATATTATTGCTAGTCCTCCGAGTCTTCATTAATTCTCTAATTTCTTGAATCAGAAGTTTTTCCTGCAAAGATAATATGTACAACATTCTTTTTTTTGACCAGCCTATGCCGTGCTCAAAAAATTATTATCTTTACCAAGAAGCTCGGTATTAGGGTGATTAAACTTCGCGCGAATAATTATCGTAACAAGAGCGATGTCAGTTCGATAAAGCAATGATGCTTCGAGTAGTTATACGACACCGGAGTTAGTACGATGAAGCGGCGGTGCTTCAAGTAGTTATTTCGTCGAGATCGATGTTAGTACGGATTAAGTAAACGATGCGTAGCGAAATTAGTATATCGAAGTGATCGATGTTACTTAATACGAATTAAGTACGCTACAGCAGCTTTGTCGAAGATCGATGTTAGACCGGCTAACTGATGCAAATATCTTCATGTCATGTAGAGACCACTTCCGGAGTGCCTTATTAAAAAGGCTTGAAGAATCGGGCGTCCCCGATAAAAGCTCAGCTGAGACACCGGTGTACCCAATTCGATTGGGTTCAGTGTAATGTCACAAAATAAGGCCTGAAATTTGTTATAAAACAAAAGTAGTTTTTTGTCCAATAAAGAATATTTATACGTTTGACCAAAAATGAAGTGATTTTCAAAAATAATGACTTTTTGTTAAAAACTTATTTTTATGGATAGGTCTCGAAGAGACGAATCCAACGATACATTTTATGAACCAGTCTGATTTATAGATTTCAAGTTATGACGATTTTAAATAATAAAATTTGTAACTTTGACCCATAAAATAAACTCAATTCAAAAGTGATTTTATAAGATTAGAAATCTTAATATTTGACACTTGACAACATCATATTAATCATTGGATTGAATTCATATATTTTTATCTCATTCATATTGTTAAATTGATTTATGATTGAGACAAACCCAGACACAGAAAAATAAAAGTTTTTAGAAAAATATTTTGATTGCGTCAAAATTCTAGTTTTGACAGTCTCATTCCAAAAACACAATTCATTTTCAATTCGGAACAGTTTGGGCGAAAAAGCGCGTACCGTTTGAAGTAAACTGTTCAGTTTTCGCTAAAAGCCAAAACTTAAATCTCAAATCTTCTCCCAAATCACGCACCCCCATTTTTCTCTCCACTAGTGTATCCCTCCACCAACCCTTACACTATATCATCATCATCCTTGAACACCATCATCATCATTATACATTATCATCCACCATTTCCTCTCCCATTTTCTCTCTCTGTCGGCAGTCCAAGAAGGAGGAAAAACCAGCTCCAACTCCATTGGTGAGCCAAAGGAGAAATACACACCAGCTCCATAGTTGGTTCAAGGAAGAAGAAGAAGAAGCAAGAAACCTTCCAAAAATTTCCAAATCTTAAGCTCAAATACGCAGCAGCCACTTTAAAGTAACAACTGAAATTTTCCATCCATTATCTCAAAATATTTTATGAACCAAAGTTGTAGCCCCGGACAATACGAATCCAGCCCAACAAACGGCTCGCGATTTCGTTAAGTAACGAAGGAGATATGGCAAAAATACCGAGACTGTGCCACTGGTGGCGAGCTCCTCGGGTTGGCTATGTTTCCTCATCATATCCATGCTGTTTCATTCCAAACACTTACCATAAACTCTCTAACGATTATTAGGAACATCCGGAAGGTATCGTATAGAAGGTTCGGTGTTGGAATATTGAGGTTAATGAGTTAATCGTCGGAATCGTTGTTCATCGACATATCCGAAATCCAGGACAACAACTATCCATTGACTTCAGGTCTAATTTACGCTATCTTACATTTGTTAACTCGAAATACTTTCTATACAAAAGTTATAGCCTTACATCTTAGGAATCCACAGAATAAAACGGTTTGCAATTCCGTGAAGAAACGATGGAGATATGCCCAAAATACAGCAGGCTGTCCAATTGTGACGAGAATGACAAAGTTGGTGAATTTCGATGTTGTTTCCACTCCCGCTCATCCGTAAGGTTTCGGCCGATGATTTCCAGGTCTGTACCCTTGCGTTAGACTTGTCGAATCATTCATCACATACGTACATGAACATATATGTTAATCCATATGTTGAAACTATCTCCAAAATGTATATGTGATATATATATATATATATATATATATATATATATATATATATATATATATATATGTTAAGATCAAAATACACCAAATCCATAAAGTTAATATATATACATAAGAATATAATCATTTGAAATCAACCCAACAACATGTATATGTTAATCAAAGGTGTTTAAAAGACTTAAAGAAGTATTTTAGACACTCAAAATAACAAGAGAAAGATTCACAGACCCAAACGGTCGACCGTCATATTAAACTTCGAAATGGACCACGACTCTCAGCAAAACGGTCGACTGCCGTCGGTGAACGGTCGACCGTTGCCAGCCCAGCAGAACGCTGCCGTTCCAGCAAGTCAACAACGGTCGACCGCCGGTCAACCACGATCGACCGTCACGGTGATCCATGTCTCCGAAATAAAGTGAACCACGGACGACCGCCGTGTCAAACGGTGGACCATTCCTAGCCAGTAGCTTAATTAAATAATATTTTAATCATGTTTCAACCAAATAAACTTATACATGATTATATATTCAGATTGTTTACAAATTGTTCACATCATATCATTCATTTCATCATTCATATTGAAGCATATCACATCATATGCATGCGTAAGAGATCATGCCTCGTGCGTCTCTTATAGCGTGGTTGTGCGGGACTTAGCAGTCTGACATCCCTGACCGGGCTTAGTGTACGTACATGGTATTCAGGCTTTCAAGTACCACCCCTATTTTTCTAGTCTCACCTCATTCGTGAGACTAAGGTGACATGAGTTCGTCGTACCAAATGGGCGAATCTCATTGTGCAAGGTCGTTCCTTGTGGGTTAGAATCATACATCATGTAATCATCATCAAGAAATTATATTGATTGCATAGGTGTCATGTAATCATCATCAAGAACAATCAAATTGATTAAATTAATGTGCCATCATGTAATTAGCATTGAATATTTATCATCATGATTCACCAAATTGACCATATGATATAATGTGTCATATCATGAATATTGTTACACATTTTTGTAGACGTATATATATGTATATGTCTGTGAATTATTCTACAATTCTAGCGTGGTACCACTCAGCGGTTTCGCTGAGCGTGTAGTTTGTATTTTTCGTTGACTACGCGTAGGTAATAAGAAGACAATGATGGAACCACTCCCGGAGGGCATTGAGTCAGAGGAGATGCAAGGATGGCAGGCAAATATTTGGTCATCAGATTTTAAATGTGTCATGATTTGATTATTAATGTACTTTCGCATTACTCCGAAAATATTTTTAAACGGGTCGCGATCCAGAGTCTGTGAATTTAATATTTATAAGTAATTGTCATTTCCAAATGTCAAGCGAAATTTTTATTTAACTCCGGTTTCACCTTAATACGTGTAATTCCGGGTTATACAGATTAAGGTGTTACATTCGAACTTACGAGAAAATATGTGCAAGACTGGTGTGAGACCAGTGTACCAGTTCGACTGGGTCACATATTTTCTTTATTATACTGAGCAAGACCGGTGTAGTAACCAGTGTGCCAGGCCGGGCCTGTGTCTCAGTCTTCCTATAAGATAATGCTGCTGGCCGAGCTAGTTCAACATTGGAGAATTAACCATGTCGGATGGTTTCGAGCCCTCTCCAAGGCCCAAAATGCACCCTTCTTCCAGGGCCCCCTCTTCCGGGTGATTAAGTTTTTTAATGGCCCTTTGATGTTTACTATCCCGGGAAGGCCTTAGCTCACCCTCCCATTCAAGACTTTCCTGAGAAGGGGGAATCCGATCCGGTCGGAGTAGGATGCATTGCGGTGAACGATCATTTTCTATTTCTTTTAACGGGCATCTTTTAGTCCCCAATCAGTTTGACAGTTTTAGTTGACTCCCCGATACCGGTCAAACTTCATGAGCCCGTGTAAGTACTGTTCGAACCCTCTTCCAGGTCCAGCCTTCTTGCAGGCATACCCCTTACCCGGGGCCCCTCTTCCGGGTTTAACTTTTTTTATTTTATACTGAGCAAGACCGGTGTAGTAACCAGCGTGCCAGGTCTGGGCTTGTGTCTCAGTCTTCCACAATGTGCAGTTTTGCAATTTCCACACTATGGCCCATCACTTTTAATTTTTCCACTCTTTAGTACTTTGGAATTGTTGCCCTCCCACTTGTGATGCATCATGTAGAATGTAGAGTGGCTTTATTTTTTTTTTGAGATTGCCCTTGTACGGAGTATATTATTAAATCAAAGAGATGGGCCCTCTCTTCTCCGTGATGAATCTGGTGGACCATCTTATCTTTCTCCTCCTTTTCATTTGTATAATCCGCACGGAAGAAACAAAATATGTCCATTCCAAACTCAATTGAAATTGTTGGGCCCCATGGAGAAATAAGTGAGGGGTCACTTTCTGTACAATCTCAGCTTTTTTATTGGCCACTATTCATCCTCCTTGGCTTTTACTCCATAACTTTCTCTTCTTTTCTTGTCTTCTTCTCTACTGGAATCGCACACGCCTTTCCACGAACATGGAATCGAGCCAAGCCCATCTATGTTGTCTCAATTATCTTCAATTTTTCATTGGCCTGTACTTGATTGGCTCCGCATATATTGACAGTAGATGTGATCGATGGTGATGGTAGTGCACTTCAATGGAGATGAAAATTGGGGAAGACAATCTGAGTCTGGATCGGGTCTTCTTCCTTCCTGCAATTGGGTGGCGTTGCTCAACATCATCAGAAATTGAGCCAGTTCTTGTGTCATTTGGTTGCCGACCGAGAGGTGGATTGTCCTTCGCAAGCTAGTCTACAAGGTGAGAGACATCAATTATAACACACTCCCTGCGCCCTATATTGATCTTCCCACTTGGACTAAAGGTCATTTTTAAGGGATAAATATATATGACTTTGACTTCCAAAAATACCCTTCCTTCCGAAGGGCAGTGATTGAGAAGAGGGGGTGCAACGCGGAGACGAAGAGATGGGTCGGGTCATGACTCTGCTACGGGGGAGCCGATGGGCTCGTTGAACTCGACCGTGAACTTTCAAAAAATTGAAAAAGGAAAACTAAAAAAACTAACCAAAGGGATGTGGTCTCCGTTGATCTCTGGCTGTGGTCTCCGGAGTACATCGGCAAAGGGCTGACATCCGGTGAAAAATCGTAGATCGAAAGGGTGAGAGAAATTTGGGAACAGATCTTTAGATCTAGATCTGTGATTTTGAGAAAGAGGCGAAGTAAGAAGGAGAGGGAAGAGAGACCGAGAGGATTAAATCTAAAGAGGAATGATGAAGATTAGTTGAGAATGAGAGGGAAGAGAGATGGAGAAAGTGAGAGGAAGGAGAGATGGAGGAAGAGGGAGAAAGAAGAGACGGAAGACGGAAGACAGAGGATGGAAACAATTGAGGGGTTAAGGGGTAACATAGTATATTTACATCTTATATTAAGAAGTGGGAAGATAGTTTTAGGACGGAGAAAAAGGAGAAGTGGGAAGATAGTTTTAGGACGGAGGGAGTATATCTAAATTGAATGATTCCAAACTAGAACTGATCCGGTTGACCAAATTATCACCTTTAGATAAAAATAAAACCATCAGTTTTGGATTTTTTTAGATTTCAAAAAGTTAGTGGATTTGAAAAAGTTGTAGAGTCATGTAAAGTTTGGTTGATTTTTTGTAGAATCCATGTAGAGTTTGAAAAATTTATAGAATCCATGTAGAGTTTGAAAAATATGTGTGTAGAATTTTTGCACCTTCTCCGTTCGGCCACACAGAGAGAAAGATCAGACCTCCATCATAAACCAGGCGAAGGAAGCTCTAGGGTTTATAGAAGTTATCTGGAAAAGAATAAAATAAAAGTAAGAATTTAAATTGCACAGGCAAAGATAGATCAATAAATCGATCAAGATATGGGAGTTTTAGGGGTTACTCAGCGCCGCCGTTTCCGCCGCCATGTTCTTCACCCCCACCGTCAACACGTTCATGACTACAACTTGGTTGCCGGTGAGGACAGCGCCAGAGAGCATGACTGAATCTAAGATGAAAGGTGGGTGAGTCTCTCTCCTTTTGAAGTCCATAGAAATCTGAGGATGTGAGAAGAGATTTCTAGGAGTGAAAATGTAAGCATTTTTTGAGTGAAAATCCAACAAAATCCATAGAGTATTAAAACTCATAGATTTTTGAATACCTCAAAATTTTTAAAGACTCTTAAAAATCTAAGTTGAATACTTCAATATTTTAAAAGACTTTGAAAAATTCCTATTGAATATCTCAAAATTTTTAAAGATTTTTAAAAATGTAGATTAAATACATTCAGATTTTTAAAATCTAAAAAAATCCAACAAGACTCCAATTCAATACACCCCTAAGTTTCCACTTTCCAATGGCACTAGAACCGTGCCATTTACTTGATGCGCATATGAGGGGACGCACTACGCCGTGAGGAGAAATGTTAGCTGTTTTGGGGGTTTCCTCTTCTGGATGTGCCTTTATAAATAAAGCTGCCGTTCTCAATCTCACTGGACTTCTCAAGCCATTCCACTCTCGAAGGCTAGCAGTTAGAGCTCTCTCTTCAATGTCGTACAACGCACAACTCGACGCCGCGAAGAAGGCTGCGACGCTTGCGGCTCGTCTCTGCCAGGTGCCTCTACATGATTTCTAATCGTTACGTTAGGTTTCCATCAGCCGTGAGTCTAGGTCTATTAATGAGTAAAGCTGAGATCGGCCCATGATTTCCTGTTGTTTTCCTCCATTTCGCTTATATTGACGGCCTAGCACCAATATCTGCTTAAATATCCTTTGGAACAATGTTTGATTTGCCCTTGTTTGAGTTGTATATATAGTCAGCTTCAAATTTCGGCCACTGGCGATGGCGGACCTTAAAATCGTGGAAACTATATAGCTGATGCATATGTGGTTTGTGTACTTTTCAGAAAGTTCAGAAGAAGCTGGTGCAAACCGATGTGCAGTCAAAGTCAGATCAGAGTCCGGTGACTGTGGCAGATTATGGTACACTGTGTTGATTTATTCCTTGGTGTTCGTTTGGAATGGCTAAACGAGGACGAAATGCACTTTTATTTCAAGTTATTTTAAATTAGTATGTTAATTTCAATTTATTTTAATGGTAAGTACTTCATACATTTCAATCGCATATGTATTTTAGTTTTTGATGGATTAGAATACTATGACAAGTAGACAACCCTGTATAATCCCAAACTTCGTTCGTGTCCGGGGTCAAGATACAGACTTATCTTTGTAAAAATAGAGAGGCTATTTCAGTTAGATCGTAGCCGCACTGTTGCATTTACTGTCTAAAACTTCACAGAAAGTAAGAAAAGAGTGAAGTTTTATATTTATTTTGATTCAATTCATTATGTGGAGACTAAATCATTGTCCATTGGCAATGGACAGTACTAAAGCAGATGAATCTGTGTAGATAATCGGTGGTTTGATAATGAACAATAACTAGTCATTCTCTCATGCTAAGGATGTTAATTTGTGTAAATGAGATTCATCTGTCTATTGTTCTTAAAAACCACCATATTTATTGGCATTTATGAGTTTTTGCATTGGATGTTACAATTAATTTTCAGGTTCTCAGGCAGTGATTAGTGTTATATTGCAAAAGGAGTTGCCTTCTTATTCCTTTTCCTTAGTGGCTGAGGAGGTTATTTTTCTTCCATGGATCCTTTTATTTTATTTTGAGTAGGGAGTCATTATTTAAAGACTCCATATGTAATTTATTACTCCAGATTATAAATTTCTCAACGTAGAAGCATATGATTGTTTACAATCCAGGGAACATTCTGCAATTCTGCTTTTTTCTTTCCGTCTATGATTTGGACAAAATGACAAATTTTTACTTTCTAGTACCAGGTTTCTACAGTACTATAGAAGCATATAACTAAAAGATATTTATTTGCTAACTAGAGCTGAACATGTGGATGCTGAACCTATATAGGACTCGGAAGACCTGCGCAAAGAGCATTCACAAGAAACACTACAACGCATCACAGAGATTGTGAATGATACTCTTGCTTGTGCTGACTCTGGAATTACTTCTCCCTTATCTCAAGAAGATGTGCTCGCTGCAATTGATAGTGGTAGATCTGATGGTGGCCCTTCGGGTTTTCATTGGGTATTAGATCCCATTGATGGGACTAAGGGGTAATGTTTCAAATATGCATACCTGGTGATAACTGTAACAAATTTATATTTTATTCTTTGCTGAATATTGATTAGAATGGAAGAAATGTATAGAAGTTTGATGAAAATGTCGTTGATTGGATTTTTATAGTTTTCATGAAATAGAAAGAAGGTCAATTCAGGTCGAAAGTATTAGGGCAGCCAACAGAGGAAACAGTCTAAGTAACTAGATATGGTTTTGTAGGTTTTTAAGAGGTGATCAGTATGCCATTGCATTGGGATTGCTAGATGAAGGTAATGTAGTTTTGGGTGTTCTAGCCTGCCCCAATCTTCCATTAGCTTCTGTAGCATACCATGATCATGAAGGGGACAGTGGTTGCTTATTTTTCGCTCAAGTTGGAGGTGGAACCTACATGCAAAGTCTAGAAGGATCTTCTCCTAAAAAGGTTGGAGGCATCTCCTGTTTTTTGTTCTAATTTGTGATGGTAATTAAGATGTTGTTATACTCTCACATCCCATTTCTTGGTATCCAACAGGTGCATGTCACAGATATTGAAAACCCAGAAGAGGCATCAATTTTTGAAGCTTTTGAAGCAGCACATTCAATGCGTGACTTGTCTAGCTTGATTGCAAAGGTATAATAACTCCTTCCTGTTTTTATAAATTAAGTTCTCATGACTTATAAATAGTAAACTTCTCACTTAAAAAACATAATCAAAGAAACTAGGCGTGAAAGCATCACCTGTTCGAATAGATAGTCAGGCCAAGTATGCTGCATTGTCGAGAGGAGATGGAGCAATATATATGAGATTTCCACATAAGGGCTACCGTGAGAAGATATGGGATCATGCAGCTGGATATCTTGTTGTTTCTGGTACGGTTTTCTTAACTCGAAGCACTTGATATTCCCTTTTCTTATCAGCTTTCGCGTGCAAATTCTGGGACATTAGGCAATCACTTTCAAGATTATTTTTTTTGGCAAACTGTGTCCTATACTAAAGTTTAACCTATATGCGAAAATCCCCTAATAGTCACATAACACATTTAACAGAGAACCAATATAAGACAACGTGATTGCATAGTTGATACTTGAGAGATGAGACCGGTGCTTAGGCGCCTTCAAGTAGCATATTGTTAGTGAAACTCCATTTTTTGATATTTTTATTGACAATAACAGACATTATCTATTATTGTTCATAGAACATATTTTGTCCTGTAAAGACATGGTTTTTAATCAATTACTCCAAACAATCTTTGAAATCAACTTTAAGGAGTTATAACTTCTAAAATCTTATGCCTTGATCAAGATGACTAGATATTAAAACGTTTTGCATTAGCCAAACATGACCTTTTTTTTGAATGAAGCATTGCATATTTTTAAAAATATACACTCTAATGGTATGATCCCTATGTACTGGGGGGGGNTTCCATGCTTTTTAAATTGCAATCTTTTTCTTTATTTTTTTCCCTGTGAATGTTGCAGAAGCTGGAGGTATTGTGAGAGATGCTGCAGGAAAGCCATTAGACTTCTCTAGGGGAAGGTATCTGGACTCGGACACCGGCATCATTGTTACCAATCAGAAGTTGATGCCCGCCCTACTAACGGCCGTTAGCGAATCATTGGCTGAAAAAGCTTCATCTCTGTGATCGATAAGTGACCGGCGGGTCGTGCCAATACCCAACTTGACGAACAATTAATAATATGCACTCCATAAGCTAGCTATTTGCAATTTATATATAAATTGAATATATATTTCAGGTATCGTTATTGGGAAGGTTGTTGACACGGGTCGTTATCCGGGAACAAATGCGTACAAAATATTGAATATAAACGGAAATAATAGCCTTAATATATTAAGGCAAGTTCTTATTTGTGTTTTATGTAATCATTTCTTTTTTGCTGCATAAGAGGAGAATTTTAAAAGTCTATTTGAACTTGAAACCCCACTTTGTTTTCTCTGGTGGTCCTCCCCTTCGTTGGTGACTTCCATCCAGCGACACAACATACTGGTGAGAAAGCATGTGCGCACGTACCCCAAAGCTCAATTTGATTTCCGTTGATGTATTATTGTAGTTGAATTAACGTTTAGCTATAAAATTAAGAGCGATATTGCTTGTATACTGCATCGCATCTATTGTTGGTGTTGTTTGATGATGATGATGATTATTATTATTTTGAACTGAATCACTATGAACTTCTCTAAATTGTACATTTATCAACCTCGGATCTTTTGTTAGATCTACCATGACGGGGTTAGATCTTTTGTTGGAGAATCTGCCAACATTTGTTTTGACTATTGCCTTTTAATTATTTATTTTTATGTTTCCAGTTATCAGGATGGTTTGTTGCATACTTTGTTGGTTAGACTGTTCAAATTAGTCCAATTGTAGACCCATTAAGGTAGTCCAATTGCAGAAAAAATAAACACTGCCTTTTTACCTATTAACAATGCAGACTGTAAGATTTAAGCTGATTCACCTACAATAATACATCAACGGAAATCAAATTTGGCTTTGGGGTACGTGAGCACATAGAAGCTTTCTCACCAGTATGTTGTGTCGCTTGATGGAAGTCACCAACGAAGGGGAGGACCACCAGAGAAAACAAAGTAGGATTTCAAGTTCAAATAGACTTTTAAAATTCTCCTCTTATGCAGCGAAAAAGAAATGATAACATAAAACACAAACAAGAACTTGCCTTAATATATTAAGGCTATTATTTCCGTTTATATTCAATATTTTGTACGCATTTGTTCCCGGATAACGACCCGTGTCAGCAGCCTTCCCAATAACGATACCTGAAATGTTGGAGACAACACTTATATTCAATATTTTGTACGCATTTCTCCAAAGGAGTCTGATTTGGTTTGGCTATATATAATGTTAAGTTCACTCTCAACTTGGAATAATCAAACATCACCACTCTGTTATACTCTACTTTTTTGGATAGTGGTACCAGAGTGCTATGACATTTTGTATTGTCGCAACCCATATAATATGGAATTATACGAATGGCAGCGAAACGAGTTGAACCTTTTTCTCCAACCAAGTAAAACCCAATTAAAGTAACATACTTGCAACAAAGGCGGATTATTATATTGTATATCTGGCTGTACGGTTCTTACCGTACAGCCGGAAAAATTAGACAGAGGTTTCTAGATCCGATCGACTGATCGTGAATAGAGAAGAACCTGGAGGAAGATGCGATGGCCCTCGTGCAAGCGATCAAAGGTGCCGCCAAGAACAAGGGCCGCGTAGGAATCCAGTGTAGATAAGCTTGATGAATCCGATCGACTGAATTGGGCTGCCTAACTTGTGGATCCTACAAAATCCAGGAAGATGGGACGAAAAGGAGAGGGATGAAGATCTTGAGGATGATGATGATGGTACTGAATTTTTCAATTGTGAAAGAATTGAACAATATTTTATTTGAGAATGAGTATTTTCTTATTTGAGAATGAGTATTGTTTTTTTAAGAATAAACATTTCGTTATTTAGTATAATTATATTAAATGAATGTGTAAAAATGAGTACTTCGTTATGTTAAAATGAGTACTACCTTATTTCAGAATGAGTACTATGTATTTCGAAATGAATTTTTATATTTGTACGAGAATGAGTACTACCCTACTTCAGAATGAGTACTACCCAGATGTAACTATTTCTAGGTACATCCAGATGTACCATATACCTTCTAGCAAAACTTTATTTTGGATAGATACGTTTCAAAACATTAACCACACGTCCACACGGGAAGCAAAACAATATACAAGTTTGGGTCGATGCCCAAAACAAATAATACAATGAATGAACATTTGTCATGTCATGTTTACATATCAAAATTTTCACTTTTCAACTATCTTAGAAATTTCTATTTCGTTATAGTAATATACTTTTATAATATGCATAATTATGTTATTGTATAAAAAGGTTATTCGGAGTATAAACTATTAATTTTAAAAAAATATTATATAAAACTTATTAAAAAACTATTCAAATTTTATAGTTTTTTTCCAAAAAATAGTATATAGATTGGAATGCATGTTCATCTTTATTAACTACTCTTTCCATTCCAATTTAAATTGCCTGTTTTGGTTTACGATTTTTGACTAAAGTTATTTCAAATCATTTTATATGAAAAACGGTGCAGAATTAAAAAATAAAAATTGCGTAGTACATATTTAGAAACTACATCAAAAGATCTACAAAACTAGTGGTGACATAACAATGTTATTTTATCAAATGACTAATAAAAATAGAGAAACAAAGTGAATGAATTGACCATGTGAATGGTTAACATACAATTTAATTAGGAACAGAGGCAGTACATAATTAATTCAAATTTTTTATCTTTTTAATTAATGCGTACATTACTTTATCATTTACCCTGACAATATCTTTTAACAAATTGAATAAAGTTGAACTGGTTTAACAAATGGGTGATATGTGACATGTTACATATGCAGCCTCTATTGATGTATCATTATTTAATTGGTCAATTTGGTATTTGCTATTTTAATTTTTTATTAATTAAAGTAAGTTTTATTATTAATACATTCAATGACCATTATTATTTATGTTTAAAAAAACTTTGTATTTTCAAAGTAGTCTACCAACATGCATTTCATAATCTAAAATGTCCCAAAATATTTGCCACAAAATGCAAAATGAAGCGAAATATTAAGTGTTTTCAATTTATTTAGTTTAAAGATTGGTATAGAATTAAAAAAATAAAATTTACATATTTAAAACTACATAAAAAATTATTCAAAACTCTGATAAAAATATTTTATTTTATCAAATAACCGATGAAAACGTACATATAAACAAAAGTTTCTGTGATTTTTGAATAATGAACTGTGACATTCTTTTTGGGACGAGTGACGTATATTTTCGAATATACTTAACTATTTTATTATTTTAAAAGGTTTTATAAATTTTATTATCTTCTCAAAAAAATGTACAAGCATTTATTTTCAAAAAAAACTATTCTTAGTTTTTTCTTTTAATTATTTTTAAAAACTAAAGATGTATAGAAATTTAAATACATGTGCATTATTATTAAAATAACCAACTTTTATTTAAAAAAGATGGTAGATCTATAGTCAAATAATATTTATACAACACACCATATAATTAATACAAAATTAAAATAAATAGAATTGTATTTAACTCAAACTGAAATTTAATCGAAATGTAAAAATTTTACTAAAATGTATAGGAGCTCGTAGGGTCAACACTAGTTTATTATTAATCCTTTAAGAAGATTCAGACGTCCACACCATAGTGTTGCAATATAAAAGTGTGTCATCATCCTTGTAAATGAATGTTGATTTCTCATGGAGAAAATGAGAGCATTTTCAAAAGTTGTGCTACAAAGGAATGTCGGAAGGGTAGTCACGCGGATGCCTTGCGATGGTGTCTCTAAGTGACGTCTCTTGCTCGCGGAGGTTGGCGGGCGGAGCATCATAAACGTCTGTAAAAGCTTCACTAACACCAGGTTTCTTCGCCTTCTCCGCTTCTTCAACTGCGTGTAAGATCTGCAACAGGTAAGATGGTTTGGATTGGGTGATATGGTTTTGTGAGTTTGACCCCAAAACAAATATTTTGAAAATATTATACTATATGCATGTAATCTAATAATATTATTCCTGTATCAATATAGAATTTAGATCGTATTCAATCAATTGCGTAAAAAATAAAAAAAACTAGACAAATACTCTGAGACAGACTATTTGAAGCACTTAAATCTCACAAGCTAAAAACAAGTACTTCTTCTTATTGCTTATTGATTTTGCAAGATCCATAACCAATCTAATACACTATGTACAAAGATGACCTGGTTCCTGAGAGTGGCTTGAAGTTGGGATTCAGCATCAGTGTCCCACCAACCTTCTCTTTGAATCCACTTCCTGTACCTTGTCACAGGATCCCGGGCACCTTTCCACAGTTCAATTTCATCGGCGGGGCGATATTTCGTGGAGTCGTCTGAAGTGGAGTGATGTCCTGCTCTGTATGTGAGCGCCTGTCAATGATCATGTCAAATAATTAACACACTACTGTAGCATTGCGAAACAAATGTAACAAACAAATACACTCATCAATGTCAACAATGCTTATATTTTAATGCAGTACCATATATTTCAATTTTTCAATGTAGTACCACTATTCAATGTCTACTGTACATTCTTCAGGTAAATGTCCACCACTGGACATTGTTCAAGTACTACTACATAGGGAATAAAGAATTTTAGGGACGACGTCGGAAAAAAGACATGTGTTTTTAGTACACTATTTAGTGCACATTTCACATATTTTAGACAATTCATCGATATTTCTTTATCAAATATGGAAAGTGGACATCACGAAACAAAAATATAAAAGTGGACAACTAAAAACTGTTTAATTAGGATATAGGCATTGAGGAACCTCGATAAGAATGGGTCTGTGTTCCTTAACAGCCATCCCGCGAGCAGCACTCACAGCACTGAATATAGCAAGAGCATCGTTTCCATCAACACGAACGCTGCGGACTCCATATGCTTTGCCCCTGACAGCAACCCCATCACCTGCCAACAAGAAACCTTGTAATGGAATAGAACACACAACAACAAACAATTGAAGTATCTAAAAGACGACCGACCAAAAGGAGGAGGAGGAGGAGGGGTATACTTCGAAACTGGTCACTAACAGGTGTACTTATCGCCCAACCATTGTTCCTACAAAAGAAGATCACCGGCACCTCCATCACCCCAGCAAAGTTTAGTGCAGCGTGGAAGTCACCCTGAGTGAAATGTCACTTTATGTATTACATATGAATCTGAATTCCCAGAGTCTGAAATTAATTACTGTAGAACGGATAGGCCTTTACCGTGCTGGAGCCTCCATCTCCAAAATATACAACAGCACAGGCATCCCGACCATCCATCTTCAAAGAATATGCAGCCCCAACAGCTTGGGGAATTTGTGTCCTAATTAGACACGATGATCGAACCTTCATTATTTATTGGTGATGACTTTGTATTTATTTTAAGAGAATGGGTAGAGAGTGAATTGTTAACTATACAGCAGAGGTAGGATTTATCTCTTACCCAACAGTTGATGAGACAGTGAAGTAATTGAGCTTGTTAGATCCATAATGGATAGGCATCTGCCTGCCTTTTCCGTAGTCATCTCTATTTCCGAAGCACTGGTTGGCAAATTCCTGTAGAGTGAATCCCCTCCATAACAAAACTCCGGGCTCCCTATACTAAAAGGGCATTGAATGAATAAATAAAAACAAGCAAAAACTTAAACGGTTAATCGTAAAGAGTTCCACATTGAAATATCAAGGAGAGACATGAACTTTTAAGACCTTATAAAAGCTCTCAACACAGACCGGTAAGGTGGGGTAGGCACCGTGAGAAAAGACGCGTAAAAATCTTATTATTAACCTGGGGAAAGATAAAGTCATCCATGCGAAGAGCTGCGGCTGATGCAATGTTCATGGCCTCTTCTCCAATGGTTGTGAGATAGAACGATATTCTTCCTTGTCTTTGTACTTCGTAGAAAATGGTATCCATGGTTTGAAGCGTGACCATGTTGGTGTATATCTTCACAGCAACCTCCTTATTGATCTGAAAAAGATTATTAGCAGCTAGCTCTTATAAGATTGAGAAAATTGACAGAGAGTTGGCATTGGATTGTACGAGTAAAGTTTGTTTTGAAAATTACCTTGAGAAAATTGTTGGTCAGTGGGAGACCATCATCGTTGAGGACGCGGTAGCAGTGAATCCTCTCATCGGTAGTTTCAGAAATAAATTTCATATGGTGGGTGAACTTAACCTTCCCTCCCGGGAAATCCAAGACCTAAAAGTGCAAGAGAAGTCTAATAT